CTCTTCTCCTCTCTCCCCCAACTGGTCGAGGCAGACTGTTCCCCACACTGAGTCTGATGACGGTGAGTTTTTATCTTTCCACTGTCATCAAGTGTTTGCTCATCGTGGAATCTGTCGTGTCTTTACAAATAAAAAGAATGGATGTAAATGTTCATCAGGAGAGAAGCATGCGATCAATCTGCTCTGAAAGCAAATCCCCCAAATCTGATTTTGTTTTTAATTCAATCATCTTCTTCAGTTGTGATTTTTACTTTAACGAGTTATAACTTAATTGATCATAACTTCAAACATAAGTTAAAAGCCTGTAGAGAAAAATTGTTTGTCCAACATGACATTTATACTTTAACTCTTGAAAGGAAAATAAAATGAGAATAGAAATCAATATCTGTCTAATGTCTGTGTGTGTGTGTGTGTGTGTGTGAGGCGGAGTTTTAGCAGAAACAGACAAATTCACAGGTAAAGCGGATGTGATGCAATTAAAAGGCGACTAAAGTGAAACCCCTTTAATCTAATTTAGGATAATGTAAAGACACAAGTCAACACAATACATAACGTAGGTCCGGTTGTTTTAAGACATTTTCATGAAGAGTTGTTGCATCTTTAATAAGAAGCAACATTTATAACTTTTTTCCCAAATAAAATGATAAGTCAAGGGGATTTTTCACAACCTGGCAACCCGAAAGTTGTTCCTATTAAAGTCTTATGTTATGACTAATTTAAGTCAATGATTTATTTACTATTATTAAAGCAACATGGCTACAACCACAGAGCTTCTGCAGCACACACACACACACACACAGTAGACACGATCCAGAATCCCAGTCACACAATTAACTTTACACAACAGCAGTAATGAGTCAACCTCACACTGTTTCCACTTAATTAAACTTAACCAGAGAGTGAGGAGCGATTTAACTCTGTCTGCTGTGTGATTTATGCTTCATTACCTAAATATAGAAACTGTTATGTTAACCTGCTTTGCGACTTGAGAGAGAACTGTTGTTAATGTCATTCATGTTGTTCCAGATATTGAAACTCATGTTCATTCCCCAGACCACTCCATCAAATAGAAATATTAAAAATGACTGGAGCGTCCTTTTACGCACATTTACGCACAGGAAATCGAATGAGATTTTCGGGTAAGAGAGGACAACCTGTATGTGTGCGTGTGCGTGTGTGTGTTATAAACGCAGGTGGTGGTCCTCCTCAGGCAATAAACCAGCAGCCTAAACATTCCTCTGTAATAACTGCGGAATAAAGAGGCTTCTCCCTGCACCTCCTCCAGTCCAGCTCAGTCTGGAGCTGCAGGAAACAACGTGACCTCATTCTGTGAGAGCGGGGTCTCCCACTGCTCCAATAAAGTCTCCACATTCAATACAACAGCCTTAAATACACGGACACGTGCACTTCAATTCATTGAGACACATCTAGAGGCGACTGGGGACACATTGACTGAATGCGCATCATCCACTTCCAGGGATTTTCCTTCTCCATCCAGTGACATGATCTTTACAGTAGCCAGACGCGGCTCTGTGTTATTTTAAAGATAATGTCACAAGTTGCAAAAAGAAAAACAACGACAAGATGTCTACGTTTAGTTTTGAAACACCAGGAGTTTGTTTTGGGGCCAAACAAAGCGCACAGATCTCGCTCCATGACGCACAGGGGGGGGGTTTAAACTTTAAACGCCACTTTTCGTTTCAACCAGCGTGAACTTACTTCTTCCGCGCTCCTTCATGAACGAAATCAGGTCCTTGTAGAACTTGTAGTCGTCCTGGTACGGCTGCGCCTCCACCGTGATGTTCTCCTCCTTCAGGTTCAGGTAGATCCCCTCCGAGAGGAAGTAGTGCGGCCGGTCGTCCTGGCGCAGGTCGTGGAAGATCACCACGGCGCGGGACGTCCAGTTGAAGTGCTTGTGCAGGACGTTGGCGAATTCCCCCAGCTTGGTGGTGGAGGGCCCGCTGCGCACGATGGTCCTGTACTCCTCCCGCTTGTCGAAGCCGAACGCGGGACCTCCGGCTGTGATCAGCGGGAGCTTCCAGTGGGACGCGAATCGCCCCACGGAGGCGAGCGGGTAGACGCAGCCGGGTCCGAAGAAAGCGTCCGGGCGGAAGTAGAGCTTCGCGTCCACGGCCACGACCTGCGCACGGCTCTCTGCACAGGAGCCCGCCGCGGGGTCCTCGGTGCTGTAGTTGAGGATGTTGATGGATCGACCGAGCAGCAGCCCGTGTTTCCCGTGCAGGTCTTCGTGCGCCATGAGGATGGCCGGGAAGACGCGCGACAGAGCCCACGGGTATTTGTGGTAGTTGTCCGGCAGCATCACGGCCACGGTGATGTTACCTGAGCAGCCGGGGAGGAGGCAGCAGGACAGCGCCGCGAGCAGGCAGCATCCCAGCGCGCTTCTGCATCCCATCGCGCGTCCCAGCCGCGTGGAAGTCCCGGAGAGCGAGTACGACCGCGGAGGGCGCACCGTTTGGAGAGGAGACACGGGCGGCTGTGGCACGCGTACACCAAACCATAGGTATCCGTCTCCCTCGATCGCTTTCTCCTTCGCTCCCTCTTCAAAACTCAGACAAAGTCGGGGACTGCGTCATGATGTCGTGCCAGCCCCGGGAGTGCCATGCGTAAAATCCTGGTGGAATGGAGTGGTTGTACGTCCCGCAGAGGTTCCTCCGGCGCAGCGCGGTCCTGGAGCTGCTGGTCTCTCCGAGAGTGATAACATCCATCCAGATGACTGCAACTTAAATCAGAGCAGCCCCCTGCTCTGCCCCCGCACGTCACACACTGCAAGAAATGTCCACAGCGTCAATAAATCACCTCCGAGTCCCAGAGTGTCAGACACATCTGGGTACATTCACAGGATTTCAGTGCAGATTTGGATTTTCTTACAGCTCCCCCTCAATGATCTGCTTCATTCTGCTTCTGAATACAACAACTAAATAAAAATAAAAAACCGCTGCAAAGCAAAACAAGACAAACTGAATTAAAAGTGCAAATTCAGAACGAGACATTTCTTGCAGTGTGTAAATAAATCCTGTAACGCGGAGGTGAGTCGCCCCCTGGCTGTCACTCAACACGTGGGATACGTTTTTCAGGATCTGGGCCTGATCAGGTCTTTACTCCTCAAGAGGTTGGATTATTTTGGATTTATCAGATTTTAAGGTGCAATCGCTGCAGTAAATATGCAGCTGCCTGTTGGTGGCGCTGTAGATTGACCACACGTACACAAACCTTCACCTCCCGAGTAAAACCTCGGCCCTCAGTGGGGAATCACAGCTGCGGTGACCTTTGACCCGAGCTACTGGAGTATGTGTGCCCCGGTTCCCACTGGCTCATTTGATGACTCAGTTAGAGGAACGCTGTAATTTCTGCTGAGCCCTCCGCGGCCACATGTGGTCATCGCTCTGTGGCTAACCAGTCTCCGAGGTTAACGACAGATATGTTCCCGTGTAGAAGTTTCTTCTTTCTCCAGAGAGGCCAAAGGTCAGTACCTTGCTCAGTGGCAGGAATCGAACCACCTCTCCCTCCAGACCAACCCGTAGAAGCTTTGTTCTCTGAACCTGCAGCGTCTCTCCACTGTGCTGGAGACGCTCGGTCACATCCAGCCCTCGACTCTGCTGCTTCCGGCTCCACGCCGTTTTTTTGTGTTTTTCTTTTATTCTGTCTGTTTGGAGCTTCCTCCGCCCACGACGCGGCACCTTGAGTTAGACGTTCGTGATTCAACATTGTACTGCTTCACAAGAACGAGTCGCAGTCGAGAGGTTTACACGCCGTGAAAACATCCACCTTTTAACTTGTTTAGTTTTGCAATGAGTCATTCGGAACTACAGCAGAGAGAGGCACTTACTGTCTGTGGTAGACGTGTACGGAGAAAAACATCACCCATCGAACAAGAAAACTCGAGTTAGAGAAGTCGGTTTTTATAAAGTCTAAAGGACTAAATGGTAAAATAAGTGTTTAACAGCAGAGATCTGATTTGTGAGGTTTTCCTCAGAGTGACTGGGACTCGTAGAGAAGACGGAGGCCTCGCTGCAAATCGCCGCCTCACAGGAACTTCTGGAGACGAGGGAAGCTTCTCACCCGGACGTGTCTCAGGGTAAGAAGTCGACCACCCTGCGAGACTGAATCTCAATGTGCCCCCTCGGGAATCAAACCCTGAACCCTCACTGACTCTCACTGACATCCGCTGGTCAGTGATGGAGTGTGAGAGGCAGCAGGAGGAAGAGATGCATCACAGTAATCAGTAGATTCACAGTTCGTCATCTCGTCACGTTAAAAACACAAACACAACAAATGTTTGCAACAACATGTTTTTCTGCAGTTTTCTTCCATGCAACATGTTATTGGTGCGTTACTGCCCCCTGCTGTCAGTCACAGGTCAACAGATGAACACACTCATTCAAGCGTTTATCTGATGAAACATATTTAAGTTCAGTTAAAGACTTTGTGTACGTGGATAAAAGTTTTTAATAAAGTGTTTGAGTCCCGCTGCATTTTCACATAAACACATAAACAACACAAAGACACAAGTGAAGCTGTGAATGATATTTATTAATAAGAGCTTGTTTGGAGTCTCACACACAGAAATCAGACGTGTGTGTTGCCCACATTCATAATGAAGCACTTTGAATAATCTTAGTTCAGAGCGATGACTCGTTTAAAGCTGATCCCAGTGACACAGAGGAGACGAGAATAATGACGTGTCACATTCTCAGAGTTTAACTCAATTAAATCATTAGAGGACACAGAGCTACTGTAAACATCTGCACTGTTCATGTGTATCTGAATCAAACTGGACTCCTGATTAAAACCTCACCAGTCAGTGCAAAGAAACACGAGCAGCCGCTACGTGAACTGAACCAAAACAACAATAATGGAGCTCTGAAGCCGAACGGAGCTCGTCTTCACACATTCACTCATCCTCTTTGTCAACACGTGGTTTGTAGTTTCAACTGAATCTGTCTGTTGGTCCGTTTTTCGAGGTCCGGCGGCTCTTCGGCTCTTCGGCTTCGGATCCTCGATCGTCACTGCTTCAGCCAGGTGAGCAGCTGGGGGGTGTAGTAGGTGATGATGATGTCAGCACCTGCAAAATCAAAGTTTAGTTGAGTGCGTGGTTTTCTTTGATAACAGTCGTGATACTAGAAACCTCCGCAGCAGACACGCCCTCCCCTCCCCCCCCCTCTCACCCGCCCTGCGGAAGGCGGTCATGGCCTCCATCACAGCGGCCCGCAGGTCGAACGCTCCGGCCTGCGCTCCATGCCACATCATGGCGTACTCCCCTGACACGTTGTACACCGCCAGTGGGTGATTAGGGAACTACAAGGAGACAAAAATAAAAAATCTTTTTCACTTCTGGGATTTTTCTCTTCCCAGTGTCTCACAAAATGGAAACTGATTTAGTTTCAGACCTTGTCCTTGACCTCTCTCACAATGTCCAGATACGGCAGACCTGGTTTCACCATCAGCATGTCGGCTCCTTCTCTCACGTCTCGCTCCTGCAGCACAGAACCACAACGTCTCCCACAGCTGCGTCGACGTGAACAACAAACGCACCGTGGACTCACGAGTCAACTCACCACCGCTCGGACGGCGAGTCCTCTGGCTCCAGGGGGCAGCTGATAGCAGCGTCTGTCCCCGAACGCAGGTTTGGACTGAGCAGCGTCTCTGTGGAGAGACACAGCGGGATGCTTCAGTCTGTTCTCACCTCAAAGCTCGATCTCGTGTTTGATTCCAGACTCACTCACCTGAAGGGGCCGTAATAACAAGAGGCAAACTTTGCACTGTAGCTCAGCACTGACACCTGCAGGAGAACCACAACACTGTTATAATGACATCGAGTGTAGCTGGGGTTTTTGGGGGGTTCGTCATTTTCACTCATTTACCTTGTTTCCCAAACCGTTGGATAGCAGCGCTTGTTTTATAGCTCGGACTCTTCCATCCATCATGTCAGACGGGGCGATGATGTGACAGCCTGAAGGAGACACATGACACAGACGGTACAATTAGTAGAAATGTGAAAAGAAAGAAACTGTACGTCTCAAGATCGTTAAAATCCAGAGGCAGGGCAGAGTTCACAGAAGGAAGAGTGGCGGTTCATGTTTGTCACACGAGAAACTAAAGTTACCGGCCAGCGCGTACGCCAGAGCCACTTCTCCCAAACGCAGGCAGCTGGCGTCATTGTTCAGAGTGCCGTCGTCATTCAGGATACCTGGGAGAAAAAATACGTGACGCACATTATCTTCTTTACGTGACAGAAACAGGAGGTGAATGATCTGAGGAGGCACCGACCACAGTGGCCGTGAGACGTGTAGGGACACAGGCAGACGTCACACGCCACCAGCAGCTCTGGAAACAAAGATCGGATCTTCTTCACTGCCAGTACGGCCGGAGTGTCGTCTTTGTCAGCGCCTGAACCTCGCTCGTCCTGAAGAGGAAAAAAAAGACGTGACGTCAAGAAACGGTTCTGATGAAACCACAGAGACGAGTCTGGATGTGTTTTTTATACCTTTGCTATTTTTGCCGGAACACCAAAGATCAGCACACACTTCAAGCCGTTCTCTACAAGCGGCTGCAACAATCCCTCCAGCTTGTTCACCCCATATCTGTTCATGAGAACACATCGAACATCGCGTCGTTAGAATGTGAGAAAAAAACACAAAAGTCTGTTTCAGGTCAGAATTTGTTTCATACACGGAAAAAGAAACTGAAACTCTTCAGGAACTGAAATTCAGAAGCTTGATTCTCTTCTTATCTTTGTCCAGGTCCAGTGTTCGACTGGCTCCACCCAGCCGCACTGCTTTTATCTCTGGACAACACCCTCAGTGGGTGAACCTGACAGTTACAACATGGCCGAGACGGCGTTCATGGACGTCGTTCTCACCTGGCCTGTCCTGGCAGGCTGCCGATGGGCTCCACTGCATCCGCACTGTCTCTGTAGGAGAGTGAGAACCAGAGGTGAGGAGGGGGGGGGGGGTCCACACCATGA